TAAAATATTTTTGTCTCTACTCTCTATATCTAATTAAATACTTGGCAATTTATATGATCTCATATTTGTTTTTGGACAACTTTTATTTGTTAAAATAATATTTTTGGTTTAGATAAGATGTATCTAATGTACGATACATGTATATACTTGGCGTAAATTTTTTTTTAATGATTAGTATTTCGATAACTATTGCGAAGATCGCTAAATGGTAGAGGACTTTTTTGTTCAGTTTGGTCCACACTACCTTCCCACAAGCGCTGTACCATTGAGTACGAGACACCCTGTATATTAGCCATATATTAATTTTGCATATTATTTAATATATATGTTAAGTTTTGATAGATAAAACTAAAAGACATGACTTGCGAATATTACAATTATTTGTTGTTCAAAGAATGTTTTTGTTTTTTGTTACATTTTTTAATTTTAAATGTATTTTTTTACCATTTGATGAATATGTTTATCCTTACGTTTTCTAGATAATAATAATGTTTAAACTTTTATTTTGCTTGGCTATTGAATCTTTATCTTATTATATTAAGTGCACTATTTATTTTATTTAATAAAACTGTAGCAGAATTGTACTTGTATTGTTCAAGCCCTTGTTTTTTTCCTTATTATAAACTTTCAAACTATAGCTATGAAAAATTTGTAATATGTTAAATTATTCAAAGATAAATCTGAGAAAATAAGAGTAAATGTTATTTTTTTTCTTAAATACTCTTAAATATTTTGAAAATTTGATTAAAACTATCATTTTTGATTATGATTTAATGCCTCGTGACAAAAAGGTTTTACTTTTTGTCACTTTTTTTGGTCTGATGATTAAATGGTAATAAGTACTGATTTTATATACGGAGCTAGAAAAATTATGTAAAAAAATCATACAATTTTATTTAAAAAAATGGAAATCATCATTTACCATCATTTGTCCTTTATACCATATAACTTTATCTGAAATATTTTCCACATTAATGTGTTGTTTACAAGATATTTGAGGTAAACAATTAAAATCAAACACTATACGTTAACACAGAGATAGATACAATTACATAACGTAAACATTTTATTATAGGCAAGTTATAGTTAATTCACTTCATCCAGGAGGAATTTATACACAAGTCGCTCTTGTCAGATTAGTTGGCATAATGCTGTTAGTATATGCACTTGAAACTCATATACCATTTATCGAAAATGTATGTACAGACACAGTAGGAACAGGAATTATGGGAAAGTTGGTAAGGTCTACACAAAATATTTTATAATTTAAAATCATTATTGCTTAGAATCATAAAAAATATAAAACATTAAAAATTAAAAATAAGGAACACTTTCAAAACGCTCAAAATTGCACAATCATAGACTGTTTCAGAACGTTGAAACTCGGTAAAAAAACTCATCGCAGATTTAAAAAAATTAAAAAAGCTTGAAAAAAAATCAAAATTTTGAAACTCGATGTTTTTGCTTTAACATGCTTTTGATCATTTTTGCAAATCTTTTATTTTTACAATTCTATGCCTTAAAAAAATATTATTTCGTCTTCTAAAATTACGTACTTTCGAGATTCTACAATATGACAAAAAATTTCTTTCGAAAAATTTAAGACAATTGCGGAAAACTAAATTTAACATTTTTTTAAATATTTTTATATAATGTTTTGCACGACTTAAAAACAATCCTGTATTTTTAAAAATGACATTTACCGTTATTTAGTGTTACTCAGGCTGCGTTCCAATCATTTTATCCTTGTTCACCGAAAGTTAAACAAAGATAAAATGATATATCATACGCATCATGCGTAAAAAAGAACGCAGCCTCAGTGTGTACCACATGGAAATTTCCGGTTGGATTTTGTAAATCGTGTAGGAGAAGGAAAGGGAATATATACATATGTGAAGGATTGATGAATGGATAAATATACGTATCTATATAATTTTAGAAGACCAAATAATATTCTTTTTTTTTAAGGCTGACAGAACTGTAAAGATAATTTTGTTTAATTGAATCAAAAACATGTTCAAGTACAAACTTCGAGTTTTTGAATGCTTTTTTAAATTTTTTATCTGCAAAGACAAAAAATTTTTTATTGAATTTTAACGTTGGTTGTCAAAAATGCAATTTCAAAGTTGTTTAGTAAAAAAAATTGTAAAAAATGTTTTTAAACATTTTGTAAACAAAACTGTATTTTTTGTGAATGTCTTACTTTCTGAAAAAAAATTTATTATCAAGCTGCATTAAATGTGTGTAATTACAAGAACCAATCATGTAATCTTTTTAAAATACAGAATTGTGGAGATAAAAAAATGAGATTGAGATGAGTGGAGATAAAGAAATTTCAAAAAATGATTAAAAGCACAAAATTGTACTTAAAGTACAAATTTTAAGCTTTAAAATACTTTTTTACTTTTTAAGTTATTTTTACGATAATTTTTCACCGAGTTTTAACGATCTGAAAATTATACAGTTTTGAGCATTTTAAAAATGTTCCTTATTTTTTGTCAAGTAATGTATATCAAGACATTTGTATCTTCAATATTTAACATAATACGTATACAATGATACAATATATTTAACCTATATTTTTCATGTAATTTTAAAAAACTGACCACTAATTTCATATTTTAATACTTAATTGCAAATTCTTATAGGGCAATAAAGGTGGTGTTGCAGTAAGTTGTTGTATTCACAATACGGCCATTTGTTTTGTTAATGCTCATTTAGCTGCACATTGTGAAGAATTTGAACGACGAAATCAGGATTATGCTGATATTTGTGCGAGACTATCCTTTACAAAATATGTGCCACCAAAAAATTTCAAGGATCATGAGTAAGTTTTCTATGATATATGTACAATTAACTATCATATAAAATTATATTATGTTTATAAGTATTAGTACTTACGTATATTTAATTAATTTAATTTTTTGTTTATTTTGTTATGACTTTGGAAGTATATTAATTCTTCTATCAATGCACGGATACCTATTTTAAATTAAATGTTAATAATTTTTATATTATTTTTGTGCCAATTTTGTTATGATATCTCAAATTCCCGCTTTGAACAGCAAAAGTTTGTACATACTTTATCTCGTTTTTACTTTTACATTTTTAGCGCAAACATTGTGAAACTGAATATTATTGTTCAATGTACTCACTATTAATTTGCAAATATAAAGAATTGAAACAATGTTTGAAGGTTTTTCAGTCTAACTAAATAAAAACTTCTTTGATAAAATACAAAATGCTTTATTTAGATTACAGTTTTACTACAGAATTGTAATATACTAAAATCCAACATTTGTTTTTACTATTTGAGTATTTGCTATCTAATATAATTTAATGGGATCTAATAATAACTCTAAATATCTAAATATGTTATATAAATTCTAAATATGATATCTTATAAAGTCTTATAAACTGTATATATGTATATTATCTAAAAACGGTAACTTATAAACTCTAAATATGTTTTCTAAAAACGATAACAATAATTCTTGTAGTAATTATTTATTACAAATATTTTGAATAATACAAATGGTTTGCAAAATTATTTTTTTATAAATAAGATGTAAACGACACTTTTAACTACACTCGGGATGATTCCTTCATTGATAACATTTTTTACAAATATGAATTAATTAAACTGATTGATTGATTGATGAATTAATTAAACTGCACAAAAATACTGTCAGCGACATACAAAACATATAGTATGAACTGTGAATATAATATACATATATGAGATATTAAGTGTTAAAACCTATTCTTTTGGCACAAACCAGGTATACTAGGATTTTTATTGATTTTTTAAAATGTGAAAAAAATTTTTTAAGACTTAGTAACTACTAATAATGTTTTTACACTATCATATTCTGAAATATGCAATAAATACATTGATGAACAAATGAAAAATTACATTGACAGAAGAATTAAATCAATTCACATTACACACACACACACACACACACACACACACACGCGCGCGCGCGCGCGCGCACGTTGAATATCTTTACATATATACAATGACGAGATTTAATTTAGTTTCTTTTGATTAATCCAGCATATTGTATTTCGGCGATTAAATCTTGATAAATCTTACTTCTTTTTTGAAAGAAGAATTGAATCTCATCATTGTATATACATGTATACATGTATATATACAAAATGTTTCAGAAATAGATGGCTATAATTTAAGAACACATTTTACTCGTTACAAGAGTGGAAAAAAGTCATATTAACATTCAGAAATACTTTATTTGTAAATTATAAACACTTTTTATTAAATTAAAAGATATAGGGAAAATGGGCTAATGAGAATCCATGGGTAGTTCACTTTGCGCAAAAATTCTTTAAAGTAATACCAATTTTTTCGGCCTTATTTTCGGACCATCCTCAACATACAAAGCATTCAGGGAGAACTCCTGGTTAGACACGATGAGCATCCCTCTATCCTTTATCTTCTGCCATTGGCATGTGATTTACAGATCAGATGACAACAATCAAAGAGAGTTTCGGTCATAGCGCTATATGATATTTAGCAAAATTAACACTATATTATATGTTGTCACATTGTAATCCGATATAGTACGGAATGATAAGAAACAGACAGAAACTCACCGAATCGCAGCAAGGAGTGTACATAATTAAAGTTGTAAAGATTCCGCAGGTCAAATTAAGTTAAAAACGCACATGCGTATCGTAATGTTCAAGTTCTCACAACAGTTAAAGATAAAATAAACGCTTGAAATAAGTAAGATAAGTTCTAGTCGTCAAAATTATTAGATCTAGTATGATAATATATTAGATAAAAACAAAAGTACATAAAATCAAAATACACATAATGTTATTGGATATTAAAATTCTGTTGCCAAATTATTGAGAATCGCAATATACGCATAGTGCAAAAATTCAGTATCTGACTGTAAATTTAAGCTATCTTTTTGCAATCGAATATAGAACATCTCCGCAATTCGGTTTATATAAAAACTGCTCACTCTCTAAAACTTCTACATTTTCAATCGAAATCATGACTATGAAGCAGCCTATGCTCAGTTATAACAGAATGATTGCTAGTATTCCTCCGAATAGCATTCCTATGTTCCAAAATTCTGATCTTTAAAGTTCTGCCGGTCTGCCCAACGTAGAAAGCGTCAGTCATTACACTAACATAAATCTTATACACTACATTTTTCTTTATTGGGAAGAATGTCTTTATGGTTCTTTATGATATTGAGTTTAGGACTGAAAACGCAATTTTTACATCTAAATTTTTAGTAATAGTATTAAATTTTTCCGAGATGTCGCTTATAAATGATATAACGAACCAAGATTTTTTCTTTTCATTCAATATATTATTTTCACTATTTTGATGTGAAGTTTTATTGCGTATCAAAGATTTCAGGCGCTTATTGTGTCAATAATGAATTTTAATGGGTAATCATTGTTCAACAGAGTTTCAATAATAAAATTAATGTATCAATAATAAAATATGATTAAAGTATTTTTACAATGATGTGTAGGGTGCGTTAAAAGGAAAGCTTCGTCATTCCCATGATCGTACCCTTCTTTTGCGAAAGGGGATGTAAGGACATATAATTTAAGTACCTCCCCAAGAAAAAGGGTTTATGGTACCAATCAAATCCTAGAAAATTATTAATTATGGTAACATCAAAAAATCAAGCTTGACTCCTCCAATTTTAATCGTTAATTGAAGTCTAGAATGGAACGAATTGAAAGTCTTGAATTGTCTTGCATTTTACCCTGTGGAGCGTCCATTGCAATGTCGTCCACATATCTGATATAAAAAGGAAGAGAAATTTTAAATAAATCCAATGCTTTTCTCTCTAAATCTTGTAAAACCAAATCCGCAATTGCTGGGGATAACGGGGAGCCCATTGGTGACCCAAATTTTTGCTGGTAAATGTTATTGTCAAAGGAAAAAAATGTCGATTTAAAAACTAGTTTTAAGGTCTTGATTCATCTTGAGGAATCTTACAGGCGTTGAAAAAATGAGACCATCTATTAGAGATGTTGTCAAGTGCAAGATCTGTTGGAATATTCGATACAACATCGAGAGAAGTTAAAACACAATTTTTGTCAATTTGTTTACCTGTAAGATTCTCAACCAATTAAAAGCTATTTTTTTACGCAGCTAAACGATTCAGGGCTATTCTCGTAGATAGATGATTTTATGTAAAAAGGCAGTCAAAGTGTATAATTGGCTGTCCACAGAGGAAATAATAATCCTCAATAGTACTTCTCGCTTATGGATTTTTCGTAAAGGCCGTAAAGGTCGCGGTAACACCCCATCACTATTATATAATCTACCTTTCATTTGTCCTGAGATAAAATCGTTTTCTTTCAATTTAGTGAATAACTCCCACATAACTTTCGTGAAAGATTTTTAGTGGCATCTTTTTTAACTATATAGTTTAGATTTCCCGATCGTTGAGTAACAATGACATTTTTTGTTTGTAGTCGTTTTTATTCATAGCCACCGTAATATTGTCTTTATTGGTCCTCGTTAAGATAACCTCCGGATTATTCTTTAGGATTATTTTGTTTTTTTTAAATATCTTGTAGTTGTTGATTTAACGGAATTTCATGGTCAAAGAAAGAAGTAATGTTATTAATAATTTGTGTGGATCTATTTCTAACTATTATTAACGTATAATTTATTCACATTATTTTCAATGTTTATTCACGACAAAATTTTTTAATACTATTTTAAACTTTAATAGTTTTGTACTTTAAAATTTGAGTATTTATATGTGCACAACTGCATACCACATTCATATTGATCATCGAGTTATAACTACAGTAACATATTAATAAATCAAAATAAATGAATCTGTTTAAATCATATTAATTCTTAATAATAATTACCGCATATGGTTCTTATGAAAGATTTCTATTATTCTTTTATAGTTTTTCAAACCAAGAATTTAAAATCCAGATTACATTATAAAGATATTTATTCCAAACTTATGTGCGCGTCATGCGTCATAATTTATAATAATCTTCCTTAGTCGGAAATAGTTATAATTTTTGTAGGCTCAGGTCCTCACTATAGGGCACGAACTTTTGAACACTGGCGACAAATGCGATGACGCTTTCACAGTTGGATAAATTCAACTGTAAATGCGTCAAACGCGACAGTGCTAGAAGTCACTATCCTAGTAGAAAAGATCGGTCCATAGACGTTGATTCGATTATTTGTGCCTTAATATATTTAATCTAATTATTTTTCCAATGACGCGCACATGAGTAGGTATCTTAAAGAAACGCTTTTGAAATAAAATTATATATTACAATTTTTAAATATTTACCAATTCGATTAATCGTCCAATAGGAATTTTTCTAATTGAGCAGGACCTGAAATATGAATTAATGCTTTGGAAAATTCAAAACAGCTTCTCTCATAAGTACCTAATAAGTATTATTAATTAACTGGTAAAAGAGGAGCAATTGTATAATTTGCACATCCTTCCGATTTAAATCGTCTTTTTTATTTATAAAATATTTTTATGAAAATATCTCTTGTTTGTGATATACTGCTATAGAAGTATCTTAAAATCATATTGTCGCTTTATGTGATAAAATTCGAAATATTCCGGGAATCTCTGAATGTCTTTGCTAGTTCATAAAATATCGATATGTTAGGTAGGTAATACTATGCGTGAAAGAAAAAATTATTTCCAGCAATTTCTTTAACAAAGTATTCTTGTCAAGTTCCATAAACAAGAAATGTTTATAACTTAGAAAGAAAGTGTTTCTAGTTTTATGTTTATTCTTTTTTTCATCCTTACGGTAAATAGAAAATATGATTAAAGTTTGAACATTTATTTCTGAAACACTCTGAGTATTGTATTATATTATGTATATGTATATATAAATATATGTATATGTATAGCCAGATTTATTGGTTGGGAGATTTAAATTATCGCATAACGGATATGGATGCTGCAACAGCTAAGCAGTGCATTTCAGAAGGTAACTACGGTCCCGTTCTAGCATTTGATCAACTTGGACACCAACGCAAAGCAGGACGTGTGTTTCAAGGATTTCAGGAAGCAGAGATCGACTTTAAACCCACGTATAAATATGATCCAGGTACCGACAACTGGGATTCAAGGTATCTTAAAAATTATATTAAATTTTCTAAATGCAACACTTACATTTATTAAGTAAAGCTCAATTTAATATTTTTACATCCTTTTTTATGTTTGTACCCGACAATACACAGTGAGAAATGCAGAGCTCCAGCTTGGTGTGATCGAATATTATGGAAAGGAGATATGATTAAATCAGTTAGCTACAAAAGTTATCCGGAACTAAAGATATCTGATCATAAGCCAGTTACTGCAAGTTTTGATTCTCAGGTAAATATGTAAATATACAAATACTTTCTTATTTACTTTTATTAATTATATATTGTTAATTTTAGTATACATTGTTAATTTAACTTTTATTAATTATATACTTTTATTAATTATATTGATTATATATATACACTTGAACAAAATTGCATATATTGTATATCATGTCATAAAATTTTCCAAAATAGATACGTATCATAGATACGGCAAAGTATCGTAAAATCCATGAGGAAGTTATGAAGAAACTAGATAAATTAGAGAATGAATTTTTACCTCAAGTAATGGTCGATACCACGGATATTATTTTTGACATTTTGAAATTTCTCGAACCTAGCAGTAAAGAACTTATTATCGCTAATACAGGCCAGGTATGTATAAATAGAAAAAAAAAGGAGAGCACAATCTTCATACAATCTTTTTATTCTCTATATTTTTAAACTAGGTACCAGTACAATTTGAATTTATAAAAAAATTAGACGATACAAATTACTGCAAGGATTGGTTGCACATAGAGCCTTATACAGGTTTTATCAAACCAGGTATAAATTATATTTATGCTTTCTCACATATATTTTTTAAATATCTGTCTCTACCTTAATATATTTTAATATAGTTTAGTTCTGCAAATAAAACAGCTCAGTGATTCTTTATTATGATTGGTTTCTATACTTAGATCCAATGAAAAATTAAAGAACAAAAATCAACCGTATAAAGAATCACTGCAGAGCTGCTTTCTGATTACTAATATTGTATATATTTTCATGTGCATTTCTTCTTCCTCGTATGTTTAGGTGAAAAGTGCGATATTAAACTCGAGGTATATATAGACAAAAAGACTGCATGTAAATTGAATTCCGGTGAAGACAAGTTATATGATATTTTAGTATTACATCTTGAGGGAGGCAAAGATATTTTCATTACTATAACAGGTATATTACATGCACATAATAACAACGGCAATATATAATAGAACCATTCATTTTTGTATTTACTGTTGGTTTTATTATAAGTTGAAAATAATAATTGTTCAAATTAATAATACTTATTAGGTACTTACGAGAGAAGCTGCTTTGGATCTTCTATGGAAGCATTAGTTCATATTTCAGTTCCAATTAGAGAAATTCCTATTGGACGATTAGTCGAATTGGTAAATATTTAAAAATTGGTGTAAAAAATGTATAATTTTATTTCAAACGTATTTCTTTAATATAATCTGAACTTAAAAATTCTTGATTTAAAAAACTGCAGGAGAATAATAAAAATCTTTCACAAGAACCATATCCGGTACCGAAAGAAATATGGCATTTAGTAGATAGATTATATCGACATGGCCTTAAAACTCCAGGGCTTTTCGAAACACCAGGTCTTCATAGTGAGATAGTAGCTATTCGAGATTGGCTAGATGAATGGAGTCAAGATCCAATGCGTATCCTTTTCATATGTCAAAATGTATAATGTGTATTATATGCCACATATATATATTTTTTTCAATTAATATACAATATATTAAATATCTATCTCTACACTGATATATTTTAATGAGTGCAGTTCTGCAGATAAAATAGCTCAGTGATTCATTATTACGATATATGTATATATATACACATATATACATATATATTTTCTATAATTTTTCACTGGAATTACTGAGCTACTTTATCTGTAGAACTGCACTCTATTATATATATAGACATATACATACCGTTGTTCCTTGACGATAATTTATTTTCTCACGTATAGCTGGTGGTGTACATTCGGTAGCAGAGGCATTACTATTACTTTTAGAATCTACTGCTGAACCCTTGATACCATATAATCTGCATAATGTTTGCCTATCTGCAGCAACCAATTATTTACAATGTAAACAAGTAAGTCAGAAATTAACGTTTTACTATTTATAATATTTATGTGATCGAATTCAAATCATATTACGGTGCCTAATAAATTCTATATGAATTTTTAAATCCATTATTCAGCCATTTAAACTGCGCGCCGAATCAATTTCGGACTTGCAACGCAATCATTGGCTGCGTTCAGCAGAGAAAACAGCTTTGCAACTGTTGTGAGATTCTTCAACATGATTGCCTTTAGTTCTTCACGGATCTAAATGTATAAACCAATCATATTAAAGAATTTTACAACAGTTGCAAAGCCGCTTTTTCTGCTGAACGCAGCCATTAGCTCAAAGCGAGATCACAATTGATCTTCAACTCTTAATAAATCGATGCTTATAAGAGATCGGAAGAGCA